CCAAGGAAAGCTGGATTCTACACCTTGGAACTGAGACTACAATGTTTGCAGGTCCTTTTCTTTTTCATATGACTCACTCAATATGCCTTCTTCAAAATTTGGATGAAAAGGTTCAGGCTTCATTAGTCACCTAAAAAAGGCTCATCGATACATAGTCGGCCCTCTCTCGTTTGCCGCTTGGACTTTTGCGGAATTGTTTAAAGTGTTCTCTCTAGAAATCTTTAGGTCTTTTAGTGTGATCCTATGGTCAACTTCAAGTTGAGGCTGACCATAAAGCAGTGGTTCCCAACCTGTGGTCCGTGGACCATCAGCAGTCCACAAGAACTAAAATATGGTCCGCGGCCTTACCTTTACTAGACCGTTGCCTCAAAACCATGTGACAAGAGCAGTTGGCCTCGCAAAACCCTTTTATAGTGCCGAGGCAATGGGAATGTTTGGAGAGGAGAGGAGAGGCTGGCTACCCATGAAAGATTACTACTACCACATCAGCTCTAGATGATTAAATATGGTTTTCTGTGGGTGAGGAGATGGCGACTACTGGATGGCATATGGTCTGTATCAGAAACTAGAGCTGATGTGGTCTATCCAGTGCAATTCTCTGAATCATCACCCCAAATAAACAAACTGAATCGAAAGTTGACCAAAAACCGATTCATAACCCTTTTGGTATTAATGTTGGAGAGTGGTCCCTGGTCAAGTGGTCCCTGGTCAACAAAAGTTGGGAACCATTGCCATAAAGTCATGCTGGAGCACCTAGAGAAATAAATTTTAGGGTTAAAAAAACATTTTTTATAAAATCATAGTTTTTCTACTTTCCTGTGTCTCAAACCCAGAAAACATGAAGGGCTGACTGACTATATCCCATTTTTGAGAGAGAAACTGAAAAGGGGTATGTATAAGTTCACTTTACAGGTTGATTAAGTACCCTCGATTTGGCATTTGCTTCATTTTTAGATATGTTTATATGGCAGAAAAGTGCATCTTGGAATAGCAGGAGTACTGTACTTTGCTCCACTTGTAGCTGATGTTACTTTAAAAGATAGGTACATTTGGTATAATGGAGCTATTTTTATTTATTGTGTAAAAAGCAAATTGAGAATAGTTATAATGTATAGAAAAATCACAAACAAGGTTAAAAGCTTGCATTGTACTAAATTTCCTTTGCCCAGAAGATGGCTGCTTTGAGTGCCTCTGGTGTCGCTGTGAGAAGGTCCTCTATTTGGAATGTGGCAAGGCTGAGACTGCATTGTAGTAAGTGGTCTTTGATTTGCTCTTCTCCGCATTCGCGTGTTATGGACTCCACTATGTAGCCCCATTTCTTATGGTTAGTTCTGCATTTCGTGGGGCCAGAGCACAGTCTGTTCAGTGCCTTCCAAGTTGCCCAGTCTTCTGTGCGTCCAGGAGGGAGTTTTTCATCTGGTATTGGCCACTGATTGAGGTGTTGGGTTTTAGTCTGCCACTTTTGGACTCTCGCTTGCTGAGGTGTTCTGTGAGTATCTCTGTAGATCTTAGTAAGCTATTTCTTGATTGACTTGCTGGCAGATATCCGAACAGAGGATGGGCCGAAGATGTCAACGCTGGAGCTATAATGCGTAGTAACGAACCTAAATTGTAATAAATACTAAAGTTACAATAAGGATTTAGTAGTTATGTAGACTAATGAAGCAGATCCACAGTTTCAACTATCTATGGATTAGAAAATATTTCCCTCTCTTCTCAGTAAGAATCCCAAAAATTAACCTTATTTTTTTTTCATTTTATCAAAGGAATGCCATTTTGCAATGCCATTGTATATAATGGGACTTGAGTATCCACAAACTTTAGTTTCCAGGGGCGTCCTGAAACCAAACCATGGTTCAGTGCTATGGAACATTAGGATTTGTAATTTCTCCAAGGCCATTAGCCTTCTCTGCCAAAGAGTGCAAACTACAACTTTCACGATTCCATAGCATTGAGCCATGGCAGTTAAACTAGTGTCAGATTGAATTTGTTCTGCAGTGTAGATGCAACCATATCCCCATACTATTGTGAAGGCTGTTTTTATGGAAGACTGTCTAGTGCCAGGACTTTTGCAAGAGAAGGGGCGGAGATGCATGTCAATGGGTCCAACCAAAATAGCTCCAAAAGGAGATTATGGTGTTGTTCATAGGCTTGGAAATGCAAAACAAGGCCCTTGGGAGGGAGAGCAAAGAGTTTGGCTGCGCCTTGAAACCACGTATTAGCATCTCATCCTTATAATCCTCAAATTGCAGCGAAAGAATTTGGGATGGGTCTACGGGGGAAAAAATGACTTCCTATCTGCCAAGGCTTAACGCCTTATGTTAATTTAATTTTCAAGACAGCTTCTGCTATTTGCATATAGTGTGAATTATACAAGGGAAGGTAGTCCTATAGATAATTATCTGGGGTGCATCACCACTGTAGAGTTAATGCTGTTCGATACCACTTGAACTGCTATGGCTCAATGGTATGGAATCATGAGAGTGGTCATTTTTCAAGATTTTCATCCTTCTCTGAGAAAGAGGGTTGGTGCCTCAACAAACTATAAATTCCAGGTTTCCATAGCATTGATCTGTAGCAGTCAAAGTGGTGTCAAACCAAATTTTATAACATAGATGCCACTCCTGTTCACGTCTACTTTTGTTTGACTTTTTTTGTGGACTTGTGAAGGCAAGGAAAGCCCCCTCTGAAAGCCAACAAATGTAGGAAATTTTACAGAAATTGAGACAGAATTTACACAGACTGTATTATTTCTAGGAGAATGGATGCATAAGCAGGTCAATGTCGGTGGTGTATAAAATAATTCAAGAGTTACGATCGGCCCAATTAGACACAGCTGATTTCTTCTTCTAATGAGAGAACAAAGGAAGTTGTTCATTGAAACAAAACCTATTCATTTAAACAATTTGGATAAATGGGTTTCTTACACGCGTTTAATTGAATAATGGATTTTGCTAACCCCTGGATGGTCCACGAGTAATTCTGAGCATCCCAAAGGTGGTCCTCTCATTTTAGAGGAATTAGATCTTACCTGTTATACAGAAATAGCCAATGAGTCTGTTATTGGATGGTTGGGAAAGCACACCAATGATGTTTGATTGTGTACATTAACACTTTAATTCCAATTAACACACAGTGCACGAGAGACATAAAATTCCTGGATGTTTTAAGTCATTGGGATTGTATTTTTCCCTGCAGATTTTTTTGGGGGAGTGTTTTGAAAAATGCTCTGTTTACACTCTTGATAGGTTGAAAGTCACTTTGTTACTTCGTAACATAAAAATGCATTATATATATAACTAGGTTTGGGAAAGTCAGAATGACGTTTGAGACTATTTGAGTTCTAATTCTCACTCAAACACTGAAACCCATTGCATGATCTTAAGACAACTCTCTCCACCTCAGAAGAAAGCAATGGCAACAAATCTTGCTAAGAAAACTCTGTAACAGGTTTAGCTTTGGGTTGCCATAAATTAGAAATGGCTTCAAGACACACAGCAACAACAACATTCAGTTACTAGATTGTTGTGAATTTTCCAGGCTGAATGGCCATGGTCCAGAAGCATTCTCTCCTGACATTTCACCTAGATTTATGGCAAGCATCCTCAGAGGTTGTTTTCCAGTTTCCGTGTGTCTTGGAACAGTTTCTCCTCATAGGGATGTTCAATTTATTGTCGAAGGCTTCTGGGCTGTGAGTTTTTTTAGTCTATATAGCCGTGTTCTAGAAGCATTCTCTCCTGACATTTCACCTGCATCTATGGCAGGCATCCTCAGATATTGTTTTCCAATTTCTGTGTGTCTTGGAACATTTTCCCCACTGTAGGGATATTCATTGCATTGTCAAAGGTTTCATGGCCCAAATCACTAGGTTATTGTGAGTTTTTCGGGCTGTATGGCCATGTTCCAGACGCATTTCTCCTGACGTTTCACCTGGATCTATGGCAGGCATCCTCAGAGGTTGTTTCCCAATTTCCATGTGTCTTGGAGCAGTTTCCCCACGTAGGGATGTTCAGTGCATCATACTGAACATGGAAAGGGTTGTGTTGTCGAAGGCTTTCGTGGCCAGAATCAGTGGGTTGTTGGAGGTTTGTCGGGCTGTATGGCCATGTTCTAGAAGCATTCTCTCCTGATGTTTCCTGCATCTGTGGCAGACATACTCAGAGGTTGTGAGGTCTGTTGGAAATTAGGCCATGAAAGCCTGCAACAATACATTGAACATGCAATTGTCTAATGTGTTTTTTCAGTCATGAGGTCTAGAAAGTTTGCTTCTGTAAAAATGAAAAATCTTAAGGATATGATTTTTCTCATTACCACATTGCTTAAGCTTTGATTTTTCAACAATTTTTCAACTTTCCAACATAAATAATGCTGCCAATGGAATTGCAAAGGAAGCAGCAAATACAAATAGTAGCAACAGCAAACCTCTTAGGGTGCATCTGCACTGTAGAATATATGCAGTTTGGCATCACTGCACCCTTTGTGTATCTTTCCCAACTTCTTGGGATTCTTCCAAACATTATTGACACGGCTCCTTTAAAACACACATACAAGAAAAGGCCGAATGACTTCTTGTTTTGAGTTCCTTGTCTTGGCTGTCTTTTAAAGGGAGGGTTCATATCCTGGTACTGCTTTTCTCTGGCATAAACCTACTCAAGGCAGTGACTCGGTGCCTCTTTGATTCGGAGAAAGCGCTCAGTTCACAAGAAAGACACCGACTGGAGTTGAAACTTCCTGCTCTTGCAGTTCTGATTGCACCGGCCAAGCATGAATGAGTCCTTCCAAAACAAAACAAAAAAACCACACACATTTTTGAAGTGTCAAAGAGTATATAAATTTCTTTTCCCAGGTTGCTCAATTCCTGGTTCCCTTTTGAAAGACCTCTTTCTCTCTTTTTCTCCCTCTGTGAAAGGGAACAAGAAAATGTGTCTGACCGGCATTGTGGTTTTTGTATTTTTTTTTTTCCCATCCTGATTGCAACCTGAACTTTGCTTTCATTCTAGAGAGAACATGCAAATGAAATCCTGGGTGTGGCGAAGCCGCTACCTCGAACCTGATCTGTCATTTGGATTATGCACTCTTCGTTTGCTCCATCGTAATTACTCTCCCCACCAAGTGCATCCGATGAAACTATATGAAGGCAGGACTTTGGGACGGCTACTTGGAATGCACCTTAAAGACCTGGATGACGACATCTGGAAGTAAGTGAAACAATACAACATTTCTACAAGATTCCAGGTAGATAGGAGAGAATCAGTATGTACGAAATTTGAAACTATCTAACATCAATCGTGAATGTATCTCATAGAGATATGCATTATGTCTTCAAGATCTAAGGCAATTAGTTGCAATCGTTTTTTCTGTGCGTCTTCTCTCTCTTTTCCCTATCCTAAACTTTAGGTGTGCGTATACATTGTAGATTTAATGCAGCTTGACATGGCTTGAACTACCATAGCTCAGTGCTTTGGAATCCTAGAAGTTGTAGTTTTACAAGGTCTGTAGTATTCTCTGCCGAAAAGTGGTAGTGCCTCACCAACCTCAACTCTCAGGCTGCCATGGAGTCGAGCTACAGAAGATAGATTTGTGTCAAACTGCATTAATTCTACAGTTTAGATGCACCCAAGGTCTCCACTTGGATCCTGCTTTAATTTCCATGGTTTCATTCCCTGGGATTTGTAGTTTGGTGAGGCACAAGAGGGCTGTCTGGTAGAGAATTCTAAATAGCCCATGAAGCTGCTAATCCCCCAATTACACAGGAGAGGTATGGCCGTTCAAATGGTACAAAAGTGTTCTAGTTGTAGTTTCATAGAGAGCTTAAGGATCTGATTGTGGTTGATATCCATCGGTGCGTATGCACTGTAGAAATAATGCAGTTTCATTCCACTTTAACTTCAGTGGCTTAATGCCGTGGAATCACGGGAGTTATAGTTTGGCGAGGCAACAGTATTATTTGGCAGAGAAAGCTAAAGACCTTATAAAACTACTACTCCAATTATTCCAGGCAGTTAAAGTGATGCCAAACTTTATTAATTCTGTATTGTTGATGCACTTAGTGATTATCTGATCTGGGCTTGGCCTTAACTCTAAAAAAATAAAAGACATATGACTCTACTGCACTGAAGGAATTATTTTTCCCTTGATAAGCCATGTTTCTTTTTTCTGTAGTGACTTCTGTTTTGGGTTTTTAAAACCTCATTGTCATATTGAGGGCAGCCTGTCCAATAAGCAGGTGGAAAATTCCATTTCCGGGTTTGGATTGCTGGATTTTCTTCCTTTTCTTTGCAGAACGCATGACCTCCATCATCAGCGCTTTGCCACGTTGGTGTCTGGGAAATTTCCTTATTCTTTATATTGTCGAAGGCTTTCATGGCTGGAATCACTGGGTTGTTGTAGGTTTTTCAGGCTGTGTGGCCATGTTCCAGAAGCATTCTCGCATGCGTTTCGCCTGCATCTGTGGCAGGCAGGCATGTAGCCGGGGGGGGGGGGGGGGGCTTGGGGGGGGTCAGCCAAAACTGTTATGTTTATTCATATCATGATCTGATCACCATGCTCAATATATCCCATATGCATGGGGGTATTGGGGTAACAATACAAAAGATTTGCTAGGGTAGACCCTCTTTCACTCAGACTCAGCCCCCTGACAAACTCAGCCCCCCCCCCCCCCAATCAAAATCCTGGCTACAGGCCTGGTGGCAGGCATCCTCAGAGGTTGTGAGGTCTGTTGGAAACTAGGAAAATTGGGTTTATATATCTGTGGAAAGTCCAGGGTGGGGGAAAGAACTCTTGTCTGTTGGAGCTAAGTGTGAATGTTTCAATTGGCCACCTTGATTAGCATTTGATGGCCTAACAGTTTTTAGGTGTGGCTTCTTACTGCCTGGGAGAATCTTTTGTTAAGAGGTGATTAGGGTTCCAGATTGTTTCTTGTCTGGAGTTCCCTTGTGTTTGAGTTTAGTTCTTTGTTTATTATTATAATTTTAGAGTTTTTTTTAAATACTGGTAGCCAGATTTCGTTCATTTTCATGGTTTCTCCCCTTCTGTTGAAATTGTCCACATGCTTGTGGATTTCAATGGCTTCTCTGTGTAGTCTGACATGGTGGTTGTTGGAGTGGTCCAGCATTTCTGTGTTCTCAAATAATATGCTGTGTCCAGGCTGGTTCATCAGGTGCTCTGCTATGGCTGACGTCTCTGGTTGAAGTAGTGTGCAGTGCCTTTCATGTTCCTTGATTCGTGTTTGGGCAATGCTGCGTTTGGTGGTCCCTATGTAGACTTGTCCACAGCTGCATGGTATATGGTAGACTCCTACAGAGGTGAGAAGATCCCTCTTGTCCTTTGCTGAATGTAGCATTTGTGGCATTCCTTATTCTTATTTGCAGGACAGGGCCCTCATTCTGTCTCCCTATGCTCTTATCATTCTTTAAACTGATAAAATGGGTACATTGTAGCTGTCTTCCCCACCAGCTTTGGATACGTTGAAGTTCCGAGGTGCATCTTCACTGTAGAATTAATGTAGCTAGACGCCAATTTAACTGCGATGACTTAATGCTAAGGAATACTGACAGTTGTAGTTTGGAGAAGCACCTGCACTCTTTGGTAGAGAAGGCCCTAGACCTTGTGAAACTACAACTCCCATGATTCCATGGCATTGAACCATGGCAGTTAAAGTGGTATCAAACTGCATTGATTCCACAGTGCAGGCGCACCATCGGCGTTCTAGTTTGCTGATATTCTATATCAGGGGTCCTCAAACTAAGGCCCGGGGGCCGGATACAGCCCTCCAAGGTCATTTACCTGGCCCTTGCTCAGGGTCAACCTAAGTCTGAAATGACTTGAAAGCACAACAACAACAACAACAATCCTATCTCATCAGCCAAAAGCAGGCCCACACTTCCCATTGAAATATGAATAAGTTTTTATTTGTTAAAATTGTTCTTCATTTTAATTACTGTATTGTTTTAAGTGTTTTTTTGCACTACAAATAAGATATGTGCAGTGTGCATAGGAATTCATTCATTTTTTTTTCAAATTATAATCTGGCCCTCCAACAGTTTGAGGGACTGTGAACTGGCCCTCTGTTTAGAAAGTTTGAGGACCCCTATTCTATATCTTCAGTTGTAACCTGGTGGAAAACTGTTTAGGCTTGAAAATCTTTCCTAAAGAAAACCCCGCAGTTTGAAATGTGTGTACCATATCAGTGGAATTTTGTTTGGAGATGCTAATAGAGTTTATTTGTCAGTTTTTGAAAAAATCCTTGTTCTTAAGTGCTGCCACTTAGGTGTGTTTATAAAAATGTACATTCTAGTTTGTAAGACTCCAGCGGTGGAAACATTTTGCTCTTACTTCAGCTAGCAGAGGCTGAATCTGCACTGCTGTACAATGCAGTTTGAATGCACATTCTAAAGGAGGTGTAGACTCATAATGCAGTTCAGTACAGTTAAAACTGCATTATATGTGGTTCAGACTGCATTATATGTTCAGGCTGTAGATCCTGAGCCTGAGAAAGTTTAGGGATGCTTTTGAGAAGTGTTGAATGCATGGTGGCCTAACAGCGTGTACTCACAAGTTCCGACTTCACATCAGCCGCAGAATTTTTAAGATTGCCTCACTTTGGGCCACAGTTCTTTCGGTTTCGAATTGATTCATGTGCCTACTGAATTAACAACTTGAAATCCACTCTCAGACTTTTGTCATAGTGTACTTGAACTAAAAAGTGAGCATGTTGCTTTTACCATAGGCAAAAGGTCTATCTTCCAAGATTAGAAAGCTAAAACATCCACTGTTTTAAGTTTAATGGTCAGCAGAGCCTACTTCCATTGCTATAAGTTCCTATTTAACATTGCCAAACTTAAAAAAAATGTATTTTTTGGAAATAGGGGCTAGAATCCTGTTGTTTAGTCCCAACTAGAGTGTACCCAATTTTTTTACAAAAATTGAATAATAAGTGGAAGGGGGAAACAGAAATGATAGATCTTAAAATCCAGAAAAACAGTCGCCGCCAGCAAAAGTAGTGGAGATAATCACTCTGCCGTACCATACAGGATTGTTATATGAGAATCGCTGGGATAATGTTGTAAGATAATATAAGATAAGTGCTTTGGACATTTTTAAAAAGTGTGGTGCGATTATTCCAAAACGATAAGGCTGAAAGCTGCCTACAGGATTTTTTACATTTAGGAAGTTGACCATGTACTCTTAAGTCACTCCTGACACAAAAATAAACATGATGATATACAAGTTTTGTTCCTGCAAGGGTTTCGGATGTTATGTCCCAGACGCTCAAACCAGTACTCCCAACCAGCATGATTCTGAAAGTTGTAAGACAAAAAATTATTTATTTATTTATTTATTTCGAGTCTTTCTACCCCGCCCTTTTCAAGTTGGCTAGGGGGGACTCAGGGTGGCTTATAACCGGCACAATTCGATGCCAACAATTCAACAAGTAAAATACATAGCAGCAGTAATCGCAAATAGTTAAAAACAATCAATTAATACAATAACAACTAAAAGAAAAGCCAATCTAGTGGCTAATACGTGGGGTTGCCTTTGAAGACGGCTCTCTACGTGGGGTTGCCTTTGAAGACGGCTCGGAAGCTCCAATTAGTCCAACGGGCGGCAGCCATGATACTAACCGGAGCGGGGCGCAGGGAGCATACAACTCCTCTGCTGTACCAGCTCCACTGGCTGCCGATTTGCTACCGGGCCCAATTCAAAGTGCTGGCGCTGGCCTTTAAAGCCCTAAACGGTTCTGGCCCAACTTATCTATCCGAACGTATCTCGGCCTATCAGCCCACCAGGACCCTAAGATCTTCTGGGGAGGCCCTGCTCTCTATCCCGCCTGCTTCACAGGTGCGGCTGGCGGGAACGAGAGACAGGGCCTTTTCTGTGGTGGCCCCTCGGCTTTGGAACACCCTCCCTATAGAGGTAAGATCAGCCCCCTCGCTGATGGTATTTCGGAAAAGACTGAAGACATGGATGTTTGAACAAGCATTCGGATAACCAACGAAACTGATGAACAAGGATTGGTTAATCACAGACGACGAAATTGGATTGCGACTACAATTAAGAGATGCATTGGATTATTATTGGTGGCCCAATAATATTGTGTATGTGTTTTTATGCTTTTTAATGGAATATTGCTGCTTGTCGTTGTGTTGTAAACCGCGTTGAGTCGCCGATTTAGGCTGAGAAACGGCGGTATATAAGCACAGTAATAAATAAATAATA